CTCAGTTTTTTAGTTTCGGTTTTCAGTTTGTACTTGGATCCTTACTTTTTGAGTTATATATAGCCTCTATCGTTTCGGAAAAAAAAAAAAAACAAAAAAAAACAAAATAGATAAAGTTAAATATGGAACTTTTTTGGTCATATATCTTATTATATATCAATTAATTGTAATATCTTTACATTATATATAATTATAATTTTTTCATTGATATTATACTCAAATATTTAAATTTATTGTTTTGCACATTTTTTAAAAAAAACGTTGCTTTATTATAATATTACATATTGGGAAAATGGATACTTTTAATATATTGATATAATTTTTTGGTAAAAAATTATTAATTTTTAACATATATATGCATATCACGATTTCATGATATTCTTAATTAATTTGTAGATAATTTTATTATCAAAAGTAAATCATGTTGCTCAATTGGTGTCTCATTCGACTTGTAAACAAATAGATTGAGCTTTAGTATTATACAATTTCATAAAATTGTTATAATCTCATTTTAACCAAAGAAATTGAGTAGATTAGAAGTTTAGGTTGCAAAATAATCATTCGACAATTAATTTTTATATATTACACAATTTATTTTTTTTTAGAGGTTAATTAGAAAAAAATAATGTTTCTATACTTTGTGGTCGTTATGAAAACAAACAATACCGATTTCAAGTTTTTTACTAAGATGTATTAATAAACTTACAAAATTAAATAAATATTACTGAAATAATTATCTTATATGATAGGATACTAATAAACTCTAAAATGTCATTGAAAAAATCATAAAATAACAATAAAAAAAAAAAGATTAATAAAAGCCGTTCGCCCCCTTTGCTCTGTAACAGTAAACCCTCGCCCTCGCCGTCTCTTCCATATTGAAGCCGTCCGCCTTCCTCGGCGGCCTTCGGGCTTAGCCGGCGGTTTCTGGCTCTCAATTGCTTGGTTCTCGCCCTTTTTTCTCTGCTCCGTCACCCGATTCCATGACGAGAGTCCTCGTCTGTTGCGGTTTGATCTCGTCTTCCAGCGCCGGTCCGTCAATTCTGATGGGGAGGTTCTCGGTTGTGTGGTGGTGGAGCCGTTGTGCGGTTCTTGGGGCGGGACTCCGCTCAATTGCACGGCGACTGGTTCGCCGGGCGACAGGGGCGGGGTTGATACTCTCGGCCTCTCATCCTTGTCCTCGTTTTCCATGTCGATTGGGGTCGTCGCGACGATTCTTCTTCTGATGATGCTGGTCGGGGTGTTGACGTGGTAGGGTGGTGGTCATTTTGGTACCTTGCCGGCGATTTCGGGCTGGGGCTTCGGTCAGGGCATTCTTTTGGCTGTTTGGTTCAATTGGGTGCTGTGGCTGGGTGCAGGTTGGCTCGTTGTGGTTCCGGGGTTGGGGTTTCGTCTTCGTTAGGCACCCGAGGGGGTTTTGGCAGTTTCGGGGTCGGTACTCATGGCTACGGGATCCGTAGTCGACTTGCTTCCGCTGGTTGGTTCGGTGTTGTTGCTCTGGAAGGGCTTGTTTAGTTTAGTTTGTGTTTTTTTGGTTTGTTTCTGTGCTTTTTCTGTTGTCTTTGTTGGTTTGGTTCTGTTGTGTTTTTGGTCTGGGTCGTTGGCCTCTGTTACCCGAGTGTCACCTTTATTCTCCTATTGGGAGCCGACACTCGGTATTACCCTGTTGGGGTCTTTCTAGTTGTTTATTGTGTTGTTTAGTTAGTTTATTTCTAGCTTTGCTAGCGGGATTCTAGGTAGGCATCTGTCCTGTCCTCCCATTTTATTCTCCCGTTGGGAGCTTTGTACTTTTATTCGCACAGTTGTGCGCTTTTGATTTATAATAGTACCTCTATCGTTTCGGAAAAAAATCAATAAAAAAAATCTTAAGATAATATCAATAAATAAATATTCACTATATGAAAATTTTCAATTCTCATTATTTATCTAGTTGATTATTGAATAAAAAGTTTAAATGTTTTAAGTATTAATAATTAAAATATTATTCAT